GTCTAAACATGGTCTAAACAGGACAAACTAAAATTCTCTATAGGTCATTTTACAGCAAAATTAAGCGCTTTTCGCAATTCTAAGAAAAGACGCGTTATAACGAAAGAGTTACCTGAATGGGCCGGTTTGATGCAGGGACGGTTGTAGTCATCCCATAATGGTGCGCTGAGTTTTGAATCTGTGTAACTGGACAATAGTCACCTACATCAATTATTTTTTTAACCCCATATATCAATGCAATGCTCTGTATGAATGACCTTCGATGTCGTTTTTACACTTGGAAATTTCTATTGCCATTCTACTGCGGTAACACTGCGAGGCACAGTACGTGCGTAACCTTTCAGTCATGAGATTAGGTCTATATGATTAGCAGGTAGTCCTCTGCATTAACACTTAACTTCATCAATAATATTGCCCATATGGAATTTTTATGCGAACGGTTGTCAAACAAGTGAATTTGAAGGATTTCAGTTTATTTCATGATTCCATTCCCAATAAATCAGCAGAGAGTCACTTAAACGGGAGTAAGAGTTCACGAAACTGACAAGTGATCATTTGTATCATGAATTCACGCCTCATATTACCTATCAGTGGATAGCTCTGTACGAATTTAATTTACAAGTTTGACAATGGCGTTGCATTACACTCGACGAGAACATACCACTGAAGTTGGAGGAATGAACGCAAGTAATTAATACCGATTACTATCTATCAATGATACGAATTCACTCATGATCGCAGGACCACGCGATGCCATACGCAGAATAGTGGACAGATATTTTTAAGTGCGAAAATGACATTATGCTTCTCTTAAAGAAAGCTTAGCTTACCATTAATATAAAACACAATGAGAGAAATCAAGTAGCTGACTCAGCTGGTCACCGCCCAGTCATACAGATTAAATGGGACAACCGCAACACCAAATGCTGACAGCAACTAGCGGTGTGTATCCAGACACCATGCGCCTAAACGGCAGCGCAAAATGTCACACACCGTATAATTACAAATGATGCCCTCGTAACGGCTTCAAAAATTGCCAACTGGAATTATTACAGAAAGAATTTAGAAGAAAAGATGTGATAACATCTGATTTTTGATCAAGTAATCGTTTTAACCAGACGTTATAATTTGGACTATTCTATCGTTCCAGTCTGTTTTTATTTAGTTATAACTGATGATGACAGTAACCTACTTTCTATGATCATGCATGTTCAAGCCAATATGAACTTGCTACTGAATAAGTACCAGCGGTATAAACCACAATAAAGCAGCGGTTAACCTCTAAAATTAAAAACATAATAAAAACTTTGAAATTAAATGCACAGAATTTCAAGTACAACAGTAGTCGTGAGCTGTGCGGTAGGCAATCCACCGTTTTCCTAAATCAGTTCTCTCCTACTCGGTGAAGAGTGAGTAAAAGGTATGGAATTTTCTTCTAAGGTGAAATAAACTCATTGCATTAAAATTCAGTCGTACTAAAATCGACGCACTTGTCATGAAGTGTGAAATGATCGTGTAAATTAAAGGCACAGTGGTGCTGAAACAACCGAACGGTACCTGTCTTGAAAGGGAAACTTGTTTGAGAAAAAAATACTTTCACTACAAAAAGTTTGATTCAAAGGGGTCCTGTAAATTTTATTACGCATAACAGCAGCTGAATCCAGTCATTAACAAAAGATAATTCTAAGATGATGAAGGTACGGTTCTTTAAAGAACCCATAAATCTAAAAACACACCTTATTGACTTCTGCCTGCTTTAGTCCTTCATAATAACTAGCATCGGCTCGAGACCTCACTCGAGCGAGGTTCGTCTGATCTAAAGGCAACCATACGAAATAAATGTAGAATACAAACAACCAATCACCGTACCTTCCAGTTCAGACATTTTCTTCATCGACTGCTTTTCAAGTATTCGCTGTTCGTACTGTATCTGGGCGACCTGAGAAAGTTTTTCCGCTTCTTAGAACCCTAATCAGTTAACAACATCACTTGCACTTAATGAGCACTTTTTCAGTACCTATAACGGCCCGTTTCCGTTCGGTTTCGGCTTCCTTTTCCACAACCTTTTGATGTTGCGT